CGTCCTCCTCCTCCTCCCTCCCACCCTCCTACCCCCCCCCCCCCCCCCCCCAACCTCCTCGCTCACTCTCCACTCCCTCCCGGCCGTGTCTGACTTTTTCCTTCCTCAGGCTTGAAGAACCAGCAGCAGATGTCTTGGACTGCTCCTCAGGTAACTTCATTCCTCTGCTCCATCTCTTCCTCCTCATCGTTGTCCAGCTCCCTTCCAACCCTTCCAAGGTTCCTCCAGTGCTGCAGCAGCCCGTCTACCAGCCTCCCAAGGGGGTTCCCCACCCTTCTCTCGCTCCTCAGCCTCCAGCTCAGTACCAGCAGGTGAAGTCGCCGCTTCTCCCTCATGCCTCTGCTGACTTGTCTTGTGTAGAAGACTCCAACCTCGCAGGCAGGTTCAACTCAGGTGAACCCCTTTTTCTTCTCCCCTCTCCCTCCTCCTCCTTCCTCTCCCCTCTTCCTCCTCCCTCTTCCTCTCTCCTCTCCCTCCTCCTCCCTCCTTTTTCGCATCCTCCATTCCTCCTTCTTGACGCACAAGCTGAATGTTTCTCTACCTCCTCCTCCCAAATTAGTGGACGGCGAGACAGCAGGTCGACCTCTCTTCCTCTCTGTCTCTGTTCTGGTCCTGACTTCCTCCTCTCCAGCCTCTCCCTTCCTCGCAGCCTGCCGCCTCCTCTACCAAGATCAACCTCAACAACATCAAACCTCCCCTTACAAACCTCCCGGGCAACCTTCCCCACGTCCCGAGTTGGACTCCCGCTGCCCAGCCAGAGCGCGAGAGCCACGGGCTCACGTGGACAGCAGCAGGTGCGCGTTGCTGGTGCGAGGAGGCGGGATGATGAGTAGGAGCAGGGAGCCTTGAGAAGCGGGAAGGAGGAGGCAACGGACCGGGGCCGGACCGTGAGAGACGTTCAGCAAGGTGAGGAGGTGCTGGTGGCGCAGAACTCGTCTGATGAGGAGCAGGTACAAGGGTGTGACGTGGGACAGAGTGAAGCGCATGTGGAGGGTAAGTGGAGGG